ATAATGACTGGATTCGACAATGAACTGACTTTTGAATTTTAGTGAGTGGTAAATGAACGGATTGGAAACCACTGCTTTTAGAAATGGGCTCCTTCTGTTCCTCTATTCTAAATTTCATACAGGAAGGGAAGTTATTTTGCAGGTATAGTTCTTTTGCCTGGAGGTTGATTTTAATTTACTTGTAATGGTGGTTTCTTTTCCCTCTTTCCATTAAAGTGTTCTTTCTATTCAAGTCTAGAGTGTTGGAAAAGTGTAGCAAGTATTTAGATCCTTTGTGATTTACAAGTTTTATGTATATATTCAACCAGTAGTAAGCCAGCAAATATTCCCTTTCCCAGGCATGGAGAAATATTGTTTAAAGGTAAATGAAAATGTCAGTAAGGGCTTAATGAACTTCATGAAGCCTTGGGAAAACAGGAGACCAGGGATAGCTTTAATGGCTTTCCTCCCCTCCCTTCCTCTCTCTTCCCCTCTTCTCCCCTCCCTTTTTCTCTCTCCTTCTCTCTTTTTTACATGCCAAAAAACAAAAAACAACCACCACCCAAAACAACAAAAACAAAAAGATAAAATATCAAACATAATAGAGCAAAAATAGAAGATTCAGGCTTAATTATCAGGGTAACAACGTAGACAGACAAGACTGGCACAGATATCTCACACACACATATACACACACTCACATATACACACACTCACACATACTCTTACCCTTCTCTACAAACCCTCTAGAGGCAGCACCTTCTCCAATGGTTCTCTGTGGTATTTGGAAGATTAACTTTTCCCAGCACTTTGGTAAAGCAAAAGAGGCCTCCCTTTATTTCCTTCTTGCAGATTTCTGATAAGAAAGGAATATTCCTTGTACCTTAAAAGAAGGAAAAGTTCACATTCACCATTTGTGTTCGAGTTCTCATTAAAAAAAAAACATAGGAAAGTTAGTATTACTTCTTCTTTCTCAAACTCTCAAATTCAGTTAATAGTAATGTGCCAACATTAGATTCTTAATTTTTTAAAATTCTTTGTAGTTGTTTACATAGAATCCTCATCCATTCCCCTATTGGGAGGTAGTGCCAGTTAGCAGAAAGAATGGGAGATAAAGAAAGTGGGTTTGGATTTTAGTCCTCTGCTCCTTAAAACTGTATCACCTTCACTTATTTCATCTGTGAAATGGACTAATATTTCATGGACTTCTGGTCCATAGAAACTGGGAAAAGATAAGACTTTAATGTTCCTTCTACATGTACATACAATTTTTATCATGGGTCACTAATATTCTCAGATTTAGCCAAGAGTCAAGAGTTTCCAAGTGCTATAATAAAATTATACTTCATGCTGAAAATCAAACAAGACAGAATTGGGGAAAATTCTAATTGTTTTTCCACTTTAAAAAGTATTTGAAAGTTTTAGGAAGACAAAAGTGGACTTTTTTGGACAATTGCTAAATGATTATAAACCCCAGGTTAACCTGTGTGTTGCCAGTTTCCTGGGTAGGCTGCTGATGTCCATTTATCTCTTTCTGACTTCCTGGTAGTGTATGTAGAATGGAGCCTCCTCATTCATTTCTGCAGTTATTACAGCTAGCTTTTGACTATCCTAGGATGGACTTGCTGTATTTTTGATGTACCGATCAACTGGACTAAGGATTTAGAATTACTTGCTCAATTTATGTTATATTCTTTCATTTTTGTCCCTACTTATGAAATCTACAACTCAGCTGGACACCTAAAAGACAAGATACCTAATTACTGTTCCAGTTAATAGGACTGCATAAGAAATTATCCCCAAATTCACTGGCATAAAACAATTATTTATTAGGTTCATAGATCCTATGGGTTGGGAATTCAGACAGAGCTTGACAGGAACATCTTTTCCTCCATTCACAATGTCTGTGGCCTTGTCTGGAAAACTTGAAAGACTGTGGCTAGAATCACTTGAAGTACATTACCTGATATTTCTTCAGCTGATGCTGAGGGCAGGAGGAAGCCTAGTTGGGCCTAGTTGACCAGGTCACTTACACAGGACCTCTTCAGGTAGGCCACCTTCAGGTGGCTGATGGAAGACAACTGGGCAGAAGCTCTCTTGATTTGACTTAGCCACATACTGTCCCTTGCAGCCACTCAATTGATCTGAACAGTCTTAAGTCTCCCCAGGGAGGAGGAAATGGACTCCATCTCTTTTTGGGGAGTGAAAAGACTCTGAAAGAGCATGTAGGACTTCAAATACTGCAGTAGTCACTTCTGGAAAAGTGACTACAATTTACTACAATTACCTACCAGACAACATTGAGAAGTTGTAAAGCATAGACAGCTAAGTAAATATCCAAAGCGAAAAATAACTCCTACTGAGTAGGTGTCTCGTTTCTATTTATGAGGGAGAGCTATTTCTCTTGTGAAGAACGGAAGAAGAAATAGTTGTAAGCACAGCGTCATTTGTAACAATTTAACTAGATGGCTGGTGAATTCTAAAGAAACACTCCCAAATTAAAAATGAATACTAAAACTACATTGTAGAAATCAAATTTAAATACTTTTGGATGAATTGTTCTGGATAATTCCGGACTGCAGCATTACTCGCATGAGCTGGATGTTCCAATTGCTGATTTTTCTTCTTCTAGGTCCCCTGGATTAAAGATGGTAGTGGTAAGTGGAGAGAAATGTTGTGGCCGCACCTCTAGTCAGTCTTCTGACCATCTACTCATTCTTGAGTGTTCAGTGAGAACAGAAACAATCTTTGGGTCACTGACTCATTCATTCATGCTTCCATTCTGCATGAGTTTGTCCAATACTCACTATGTAAAAGTCATGCTAATTGTTTTTTGCTCTGTCAAATACACAGATTAGTATTAATCATATCTGTTTTCAATAATAAAAGCTATCATTTATTGAGTACTTAGTATGTATCTAGCATTCTGCTAGCACTATATGGATTATGTTTTCCATCTTTCTGGCATGAATTAAAGTACATACTCTTGTCACCCATTTTACAGTTCAGCAAACAATTTAGGAAAAAATGATTCCTTGTTTAATTTTGTCCAGCTCTTTAGTAAGACATCTTGGTGTCACACTTTGATTTGTTGAACTGAGAAGCCTCCTCTTTTCCTGTGAGATACACTGCTTCTTTCAAGAGATGGTCTTTGTGTGTGTGTGTGTGTGAGAGAGAGAGAGAGAGAGCAGGGATAGATAAGGTACATTTATAAATAATAGTAGCATAAGGTGAAATTTGGTAAGTATCATTTAAAAAGCTATGCGAGTTGGAAAGCCCACCTTTATTGTGGGATAATTAATGGAGAGCATCATGGAAGAGGTGGCATTTGATTTAGAACTTGAAGAACTAATAGTATTTTACTATGTGGTGGTGCAGATAAAGATGATAATCCAGATACTGGGAAAATGTAACTAGAGAGGGAAGAACATGGGGGCATTTGGGGAACAAAATTAAACATCATGCACATTAGAGGAATCCATGTGTAGGAGGGTGATTAATGGGTTAGAAGGCTGGAACTATGGGTTGAGTTCTTATCAGGAAAGATCATTTATGGCAGCTAAGTTGCAGGTATTCGAGAGAGGAGTGATATGGACAATATGAGCAACAGGAAAAGGAATTCAGCTGGGCCACTCAGGATAGACTGAGAGGGTTTTGGGAGATGCTAGGAGTTTTGCAATAATCTGGAATATATTGATGAGGGCAAAGATGGTATTGGTGACAGGATCTACCAAGAATGAAATGTGTTGACATTTCTATAAAAAGCTCACTGCAAATCTGGAGCAAAGAGATGAGCCGTTTGTTATTATGTGTATGGTTTTCACCAACTGACCAATTATTCAACTAAAATGTATTTGCTGTCTACCTGTATATATACCTACCTACTTACCTATCTAATCTATATATGAGCTTTATTAAATCATACTCTTCAGGGACTCTCCTGAGCACCTGCATCTAATTTGGAAATGTGTTGTCATGGCTCCTGTTGAGACTGGTCTACATTTGGATGTTCATTTTCTATTCCGTTTATTTCGATTAAAGGCTTTGCTATTAGACTCCTTACAAGTCATACCCCATGAATATGAAGTCAGAAAATAATATTAGCAGCCCTGAAAGTACTGAATTGCTGGTCAGTGTTGTTAGGAGCAAGAGGAATAAAGGTTTAACAGTGCATATTGTAAGCAATTTGGTAGAAAAGGTTTATCCAATTTTTGCCCTTGAATTAGTTGAGTTTTTTTTTTTTTTTTTAAGAAAAGGAAATGATGTGCCTGGTTCATTCTGTTAACATTTCCCTGTCCCTGTGCCCCTCAAGGTAGGTCTGTGCACATGGAGAGGTTAATATTAATATTGCCTTTTTACAGCTAAATTATCTGGCTCTAGAACCATTCACAGATTCTATTAAAGACCCCTATGGAGGATTGCTTCTTCAAATAGGCATTTTAATTCACCCGGGTACAATAAGGTGTTACCTTCCTTTCATTAATAAAATGGGAACTCATAAAGAAAACCAGATTATCTTGAATTTATGATCAAGTAATTTTGTTTCTCTTAGCCTGGATAATAATTGTGAAACATCATTTTCCCCTTCTTTCCTTTTCCCTTCATACACTTCGACATTCTTAATTTCTCATGTTTATTTATCTTTTTTATTTTAATTTGACAGGGAAAGCTATCTAGGACCCCAGGAGGCAAACGCTGTGACTTAAGAATTGGTCCTTTCCATCTTCAATTTAATGAAATAATAAGCCAGTAATTGATTTATATTTATATTTACATTTGCCTTACAAATTCTGGGATTTTTGTCACCTTTATTGTAATTCCTTAAGTAGTCACTAAATTACTTCCAATGGACTCCATTTCCCCCTTACTTACCCAGTGACTGAAGTCTTTTATTTTAGTCTTGGGGGCTTTGTTCTTCTCTCTAGTTTTCCATGTCATTTGTTTTAACCTCAATTTTTAGTTTTCATTGCAACTTATAATTGTATATTTTTTTAACCTTAAACTCTGCTCATTTTTAACAGGTGATTTGCTTAAACAATCTGCATTGCTGTATTTCTACTTTCTACGTGATCGCATCTCAGGTATCCTAAGGAGAACAGGCTTCTTGTATTCTTACCAACGTAAGAATAAATACAGCAAAATACAGCATTTGAAAGTAAGCCAGCTCGGCTTCTGAGCATTTCAGTTAACTTTGACAAAACCCTTTTACCTAAATTGTGATCTTCCTGGGTCTGCCTGCATTCAAGTACTTGTTGCTTTATTCTGTTTATTAAAGAACATATTTTTTGTTAATAATACAAAGAAGATTAGCTATGCTTGTTAAAAGGAAAATTGAGGAAAGAAGAATCTGTTAGGTGCAAGAAAATGACATCAGAAATGACAGTTGATTGTGTGATAATTTAGGAAAATGGAAAACACTGAAAAATGTACATCTGCATGAATGTTGGTGAATGTAATCTCTAGAGCACCTACTATGTGTCAGGTGTTTTTCCATATGTCATCTAATTTAATTCCATAAATAAAGTATTGATGCTCCCATTTTAAAGATGGTCAAATTCAAGCTCGGGTAAATTGTCAAAATTGCCACAGCTAGGACGTGGTATCCCCAGAATTGTTTCCTGGTACCCTGACTTTCAAAGCTATGATGTTGTTCTGTGTCACTATGCTGTCTTGGCGTGTGGCAGCAGTGTTCATGAGCTGTCGTCTTCCAAGGAAATGATAAGTTCTGTTCTGTGACTTCTGCTTAAGAAAAACAAAACAAAACAAACAAACAAACAAAAAAACAATGTGTCTTGAAAGAATTCCATTAAAATTACATATATATTTTTGGGTGTTAAGAAATGAACACTTAAACTATTTTAAAAATTAATTATGTGGAACACCTGAGTCCACATGAGGAGAGAGAAATTAACATAATCCTGGTATCCCAGTTTCAGGAAACTTGACTTCTGGATTGGGTTTCCTCAAATTGAAACCCAGTAAAAGACCACCATGAGATACCAGCATGCATTCATCCATTGATTCGCTTCACTTAAGGGTGTTGAATGACTATTGTACACACGGAAATATGGCCATGGCTCCTGAGAATTCTATTAGGTTGTGAAAACAAAGCAAAATGCAAAAAGTTTTAAAAACTTAATTTCAGTATAATTTGAATAGATGCTACAAACATGCCCCTCCCCCTCCATGTCATCCTTCACATTGTCACCTAATCTGCTGTTGTCACTTCCTGGTTTCAAGCCTCTGACAAATGCCATTGTGTGTTCAGTGACTCTGGGTCCTTCAGAGCCTGTTACCTTCCTGCCTTTTCAGTCTCATGTGGAGCTGTCCCCACCCCTCCCTGGAGCTCAGCCATCCTGTCCTGCTTATCCTTCCTTCTTCAGGACAGTTGCTTTTCCATTTCTTTTTTCTTTCTTTCTTTCTTTCTTTCTTTCTTTCTTTCTTTCTTTCTTTCTTTTTTTTTTGGTTTGCTTGAGTATATTGAACATCTTTCTAAAATAAACTGAGAAAGCCATTCTAATTCAATGGAAGAGATGCTGAAAGATTCAAGATTAACATCCATTATTAGCAATGTTAAATTGAGGGAAAGATCCATGAATTGTGCTCATAGAATTCTGCCCCCATGGGAGATGGAAGGGTCAAGCCAAAAGCCATCAATGGGAAAGATGAAGAAAGATGGGCTCTCAGAGCAGGGGTTTCTGGCTAGAAGCTGTTCCTTGCTCACAGTGTCAATTTTTTTCTCCCAGTCCCCTCAGGCTGATTCTCTAGGCTAAGATGGTGGAGATGGTGTTTGCTGTAGTAGAGAAAGAAAGTGGCAGGCTGAACCCAGGGGTAGTGCTGAAAAGCTTCCCGAGTCACGCTTGGCTCAGGCTTCTCCAGGGAAGTTGCTTTTCCATTTTCAGACCTGGGCTCTTGCTGCTTCCTCTGGGTGTATCCTGACCTCTCTCATTCAGGAGGTGCAACTCTGTCCATCTTTCAGGATTCCAACTCAGATGGTATCCCTCCTCTGCCATTTTTTCCCTCCAATAACTTGCTCCTCTCTAGGAGGAATGAAAAACAGCTCATCTTCCCATAGTACTTCATGTTACAGCATGTTATAATAATGCGATTAAAATATTGCTGTTTGATTGTCTCTGACTAGAGTACAAACCCCTTCTAGAACATGACTTTTATTCATTTTCGTAGTTTTGGTCCCAGCACACCAGCTGTCTGTAAAGGTTGGTGAAAGGCATAGACAGAGGAAGTGAGTAGGTGAGTGCTATGGTAAGAGGGAAAATTTTTTCGGGAGCTGTGGGGGAGGCTTCCCAGAGCAGGTCTGTGTAAGTGGGGCTTGAAGATTAGGACTTCGATACTTAGCTCTGTGCAGGTCTCAGGGTGGTTGGAGAAAAGGCACCATGAGCACAGAAAACTGCATGTAAGAAGGCTGGAGAGGATATGGCCTGTTTGCAAACAGCAAATCAACTAAGGTCTTTAAAGTTTGGCATGTACAAGAATGGAGATGGGGCTGGGTGCAGTGGTGCATGCCTGTAATTCCAGTGGCTCAGGAGACTGAGACAGGAGGATCTTGAGTTCAAAGCCAGCCACAGCAAAAGGGGGGCACTAAGCAACTCACTGAGACCCTGTCTAAATAAAATACAAAATAGGGCTGGGTACGTGGCTCAGTTAAAAAAAAAAAAAATTCAATATGGAGATGGGACAGTGTTTGGAAAGGTTCGGAACACAAGATGGTATCATGGAGGGTGTGGGAACTTCACTCTCTTGTAGAGATTTTTGGGAAGCTATGGGATGTGTGGCTGTCACCCAGGGGGATAAGCTTGCACTTAGAGGGCTATTAAGAGAGACTGGATCTTTCAGTGTGGTCACAGAGCCCTGTGTACAGAGTTGGTGCAGGGTATGCATGATCTTGCTAGGTTCTTGAGTCTGTACCAAAAGTGTCTGGCTCAGCTTGCTCCTCAGGCTCTTAGTACACATTTTTCTGATGCTGTCTGTTTGGATCTCTGACAATCCGATTTTATTCCCTGAACACTTTCCCTTGTTCATCAGCTTTGGCAATCTTGGTGTCTTTGCTATCTTTTAAAGAAAATTCCACTTTGGGAATTCTACTTTTTCTGCTGTTTCTGCCTGAACACATTGCCTCCTAGCCTCTGCTCAGGGACTTTTCCCCCAAGGACCTCATCTAAACTAGCACCCATCTCAGCTGCCTTCTCATTTTCTACCCTGCTTTATTTGTCCTTAGTGCTGTCTTATTTGTGCCTGTTTTTACTGTCCTATAAAGTACTTTATTTTGTTGACTATTATATTCCAGCACCCAGGACTATGCCTGGCATATATTAGGTGTGCAGTACACATGTATTTAATTTTTTAGTGAATAAATGAATGTTAAAAATCCCCTTGGCACTGTCATAAGGTCTGATGGGCAGCCTCTTGGCCAGTATTGTCCAAACATTTTCACTGCAAAGCATAGAAAATAAATAATGTTTGCCTGGTGCAAGATGGATATTGGTGGAGCTTTGGAGATGTCTATATGGTGCTTGATGAAAAACAAAGGAAAAAAAAAATATATATATTCATTTGTTGTAAGAAAAATAAAAGCAAGTCCCAAAGAACATATTAAATATTGAATTTTTATAAAAGCTCTAGAACAAAAATCTTGTATCAGAATTATGTAACCTTCATTGCGTTTTGGCTGAGCTATGGCCTGTTTGCCCTTCACCAGCAGGTGCTCCCCGTTGTCTTTTCCCATTCTGCCTAGATCTCAGTTCTGCCTTTGGGCAGAACTTGCTGGCAGCACATCATCCCTACCTCCATACCATACCTCCTTCACTGGGGTGGTTTGTAGGACCACGGCCCTTGCTATGATGCTAAGGGGTGCAGAATATGAGTTGTTTGCCTTCGCCAACATGATAGAGTAGTAAGGAAGGAATGTTTGTGAAAGTTTTGGCTTGTTGGAGGCCTCCTTGCTTAACCGCAGCTGAGCAGCACCATCTGCTTGGGAACAGCCAATTTGTTGTTTGTTTTACACTGAGTTTATTAAAGTTACCCAAGGGAGAGAAGGAAGGGCCTTATTTGGAAGCTTGTTTCCTTGAAAATCTGTATGATTTAGTGGAAAGAATGTTAGAAAAAATTTCCCCAAACCCAGGTTCTAGTCTCATCTATAAGAGACTTATGATCTTATAAATTGTGGATTCCTTGGAGTTTTGGTGACTATAACTCCAAAAACAGAATGATGTATTTCCTGGGTGTCTCAGGGCTATTGTGGAATTACATCAAATTATAGAGTGGCAAACTATTGAGTGTACTATCCACTTAATATGCTAAGAAGGTGCCATATAACCTACTATGTTAAATAAGTATGGTGGTGGTCATTGGCTTTAAGTTATCTAAAGGTTTGTACATCAGACTCTCAAAGCTACAGAGTTCCGTTGAGTGAAAATTTGATCTCCCATTGTAGACCATCCATTCGGGTTTTTCAAAGATAATTCCTGTGTATGTGAGTGCATACCTAGATCAGTCCCTAAAAACATTTGTCCAGGCCAGGCCTCCTTAGTGGCTTCAAAATCCACTACATCTTTTACCCTTTAAAAATAAACAATTCCGGCTGGGGATACAGCTCAGTGCTTGCCTAGCACATGCATGTCCCTAGGTTCAATCCCCAGCACTGAAAAAAATTAAAACAAAAAATAAATAAATAAAAAATAAAGACTCCCAAGTAAGATACATGTTTCTATTTTAGACCTGACAACTTGTTAAGTTATATGTTCCTAAAATGAACTCACTGGCATCCAGATTTGTCTACAAGCCTTGAAATGAAGATTTAGTTATACGCTGATTAACATGGTCTTATTAAAAGTTACTGAGACCTTATTGAGACTATTTGTACATGTTTCTCTTTTATTATAAATATTTAAAATATATAATTCAAATTGTTCCCTCTCTTACTCTAAACTCAAGGCACAAGTGGGGACTTTGTCAGTTGTCTTCTTAAATGTACCTATGTTTTCCAAAGGTGATTCGGTCTTATCTGGTGAAATAAGCTTTAGGTCAGTTCTCGGTGGCAAGGTGTACTGTTCCCCATTAAGCACTGCAGTAATTTTGGATATCCTTAATTTTTTAATCTTAAGAAGCATCAGAGTCATCACAAATATACTGTCTTTTCCAAGTGTAATATTGATGATTTGTTTCCATCATTTTGATAAACATGTTGAGGAGTTCTTTACTGTTGTCGCTTCTTATTCTAATGTCTCAATGTCCCTGTGTTTCAGGAACATTTTTTTCCTTCTTTTTGTCCCGGTGAAATCTTTTTTTTTCTTACATCTACTGCATAAGCATTGAGAGGAAAATAAATGTTTTTAAAAAATTATCTTAAATTACTCACATTTTCTTTAAACACAAATATTTTCAACTTGGTGTTTTGAGTTTCAGGTGAAGAGTGTAAGAGAGACTGTAGAAAACATTACTTTGGGGGAAAGATCCTATTTTGGATCCACAGATTGAAAATCAGATTTTTCCTAGGATTTTGCAGCATATGGAAATTGACATCCTCTGAAATTTGGAGACACTAAAATAGAAAGTGAGGCCAGATTTATTTTCCCTTTTAGTAATCTGGCTCTATTACCTTGAATAAACTAGTCTTTAGTGAATTATTTTTCTTATACTAAAAGTTAAATAAGCTCATTTTAGAAAATATGAAAAAAATCAGAAATATATAAATAAGAAAATAGAATATAAAGAGTATTTCTAAACCCAGACATAACTAGAGTGTGTTTTAAAATATTTCTTTATGGGATTTTTTTCCCCCTGCTTCTCAGATCTATATGTTTTTTTTAATATCAGGCCTTGATCAGTTTATGCCCTTATATTTTGATTTTGCTTCTATGAGTATTTCCAAATGAATAAACTGAAAAAAAATCATATAGTCAATGGTACATTAGAAGACTGTATATTATTCTTCATGCAAACATGGTATAATTAATTTTACTACTCTTATCATTAGAAAGGGACTTTTTTTTACTATTAATAACCCATAAATGAACATTCCCATACATAAATTATTTTTATTTCTAATTGTTTCCTTGGAAACATAAGACATTTTGTGTTTCTTCTATCAATTTGATTTTTTTTAACATCTTCAATATTAGCTTTTATCAAGGCAAGTTTTTACTCATTAGAATGTTAGAAACATTAGTTTCCCTTAGTTAGAAACACTGATTAGAATATTTTTTCAAAGTTTTTCTAGCTATTCTTTATGCACTAAATATCCACAGAGTCCCTCCTCTGGGCTGGAATGCTAGGCAGGGTAGATAGAGTCTCCTTTCTCACCAGACACACAGCACAAGTTCAGAGAAGACTTTAGACTTCTTAAACCCAACTCTAAAATCACTTTGCAAGCTAAGAAAAAATGCAGAG